AAGGAAAGGATGAGGTGTGGGAAAGAGGTAGATTGGGATTAGCCCTTCAGGGAGATCAGTTAAGATGCCCAAAGTAGGTAATGTGTTTGTGTGTCTTCTTAGTGGCCCCTCTGAGAGATTGTGTATAGGTTTGTCAGGATGATAGGTATTTTCCTCAGCATCCAAAAATAAAAGGAAATGGTGAAAAAATCATTTATCTGCTCTTTGGGGTAAAATAGGGGAAAATGGTTTGAAGTGGATACAAGACTGTATTTTTCAGTTGGCCAGGTGCAGGGTCACCGGGGCACATGGGCTTTCAAAGGTAGTAGCACATAGGCAGGGTGGCTTGGAAAGAGTTAATGATAGAATCAGCAGGATGGTGATGGAATGTTGTGTAGTGTGATGGTCCTGGGGGAACTCTTATTCCTCATCACTGACTTTCCCTAGAGAAGTGGAGGCTCTGCTTCTCTTCCCAAGACCATGAACACTTCTGGTTTCTTTCCCTACTTCTATCCACTGGGACCACTTTACCAGTGGGAGGGGCTACCTTGCTTTCAAAACAAGATACAGGCTCAGTTTTGGTTTCTTTCCCTACTTCTATCCACTGGGACCATTTTACCAGTGGGAGGGGCTACCTTGCTTTCAAAACAAGATACAGGCTCAGCTCTGGTTTTCTTTCTCCTGCCTGTATCATGGATCACAAAGAAAGGAAATGGGCTTTATTCTGCTTGCTGCCCCAAGATGGTGAGATTCTGGGGTAAGAATCTGTTTTGGCATGCTTTCCAAAGGCAGCCCTGGAAATTGATCATTCTCTCTCTACTCCTCTGACTTTATTGTGAGAGAGGCTTTAGTCTGGCTGGGTATACACAGTTAGATTTGCAGATCTACTTTTTTTCACAGGTAGGTCCCAAGGTGCACATTCACTGTGAGGTAGGCCCTAGTCTTATTTCTAGTGTAGTTTTAGTAGGGATTTTGTGGAATATTAGACACTTATGTGACTCATAATAAAGATGATATACTAATGAGATACTCATTTGATTCCTTGTGTGTGTGTTCAGTTAATTAGAACTTGGAGAAGATGGGTGATTGGTGTTCTGTGGCCTTCAACATTCATGGCAATGAATATTCAGAAAAACTGTAAATATAATACACTTGGTGTTTGGATTCCCTCAGGAAGATGATGAGGGACAGAGTTTGTGCCAAGTGGCCATGTGAAGAAGAACTTTAGTGTCTGTCATGCAGGAAGCAAGAACCTGCTCTTCTAACCAGATGTCTAGTATCTTCATATTCTGTAACCTGAAGCTGTTGACTTCACAGTCCTAGTGATGCAGAGTAACTTCAGAACTTGAGACAGAGAAAGTAGACATCTTCTAAATCTACTTCATAAATGACAGGTTTATCTTATCTGAGCTCTGTTGATGATAAGACATTATCTTTTCTTCTCCTTCACTGAAAACAGACCTTGGTATACAATTCTAAGATTGATCCAGATTCATGGTCCTTCAATTTCTTTTATGTTTCTAAAGACTTGTGTGTATGTGCAAACACTTCTGTACAAAAACCTGTCTTTGCTTTACTTCCCCCTTCTAATCTCAATCCCTAATACCTTCTTTTATTAATCAGTCCCTAGAAGAGTGACTTGCAATATGTGTATATTAGAGCAATAATTCTTGCCAAAAAGTGTTCAGAACTAGATTTATATCAGAATTTGAAATATAAGGGATTTAGAGATTCTGCAAAACTTATAATGTCTCTGTATAGTGTTATTTCAGAATTAAATGAGAGAAAGTAAAGAGTCTAGTATCATTCCTGGCACAAAATATACATTTAATATTGTTGAAACTGTCCATTGAGAATAGCAAAGATAGATTTGAACACCTGAAAAAGTATATATTTATTTTATAATTAAAAACAAAATAGAGGGAGGCTGAGGCTGGTGGATCATTTGAGGTCAGGAGTTTGAGACCAGCCTGGCCAACATGGTGAAAGCCACCTCTAATAAAAATACAAAAATTAGCCAGGTGTGGTGGCTGGTGCCTGTAATCCCAGCTACTTGGGAGGCTGAGGAATGAGAATCACTTGAACCCAGGAGTCAGTGGTTGCAGTGACCCAAGATTATGCCACTGAACTCCAGCGTGGGCAACAGAGTGAGACTCTGTCTCAAAATAATAATAATCTTAATAGAATAGAAATCTCAAATCTATCTCCATACTTAATTTCTAGCTTTAGTGATGCATCTGACTTAATGGACTAAGATCATGTTTCATCATAGTCATAGAACATTACAGCTGGCAAGGCCAGTGGAAGGCATCCAACATCTTTATTTTACTTATTCATACACTGAGATAGAGATTGTCTGATTGGTTCCCAAGATTCTATCACTCTTTTCATTATTTTCAGATGCAAAACATCTTGATGAAATCTGGATGTTTAAAAAATCTGGATATTTATTTTGGCCTCTTTGGATTTTTAAAAGAATGTTTTCACTTTTAATTTGCATGTGAGTTCCCATGTAGCCAAAGCCTTTATCCTCTTCAACAAAAAGCTATGAGGTGCATTCATTGCAATGTCCAAAGGAAAAAAAAGTTAGGAGGTCACTAAAACCGAGTTTGAAGTTGAAAAATTAGCTTTGAGCATCATATGTCAGTAGAATGTCTGAACTGTGGAATTGACTCTTAAATTATTACTAATGGGTTTCCCGTTGCGGGTGGGGGTTGCATGATTTTGATAAGATGATGTAGGACCTTAAGTCACCAACTCATCCATGATTAAATGTTGCTTGTGAAAACTGTGGGTGATTTTTAGCTCTGACCCATTGAATAATTACAGTGTATTCTGGGAAAGGTGTGTTTTGCTTAGGTGGCAACATTAGGAAAAAGGAAAAAAGGATTTCCCCATGCCATTTTCAAAATGAATGTGATGGCTCCTTATCTCTTATTTCATTGGTCTGCTAGTCCCATTGTGTCAGGGATCATATTATTATAACATAGATCATCTTATTAAAACAGATTCTAAAACAGAAAACAAAACCAAAATAAATTTTAAAACTACACTAGCAAAAAACTATATACTTCAGGAAATCTCCAAAAACCATAATTTACCTAATACTTTGAATCATTCAAATGGGATCTCAGAACATAATGAATTCCATTAAAATGTTTTAATATACTTTTGTTATTTATCTCTGACTTTTAAGTTGTTTATTTAAAATCTTTGCCTACAGCAGACAGTGCTGGATTTGAGCCTTGGCTTAGATACTTTCCACCCTCATTATCTTGGGGGTAATCATTTCCAAAATAGGGATGAAAATGGTACCTGTCTAATGGGATTGTTGCAAGGGTTAATAAGATAATGGAAAGCACTTAGCATAGTGTCTGTTTCATAGTAACTAGTCATTGTATATATGCAATAATTATTGTCTGTCCATTTCGCTTTTCCATGGGGGGCAGGAACGTATATTGGGAAGCGCATGGTGTCTGGAGTCAGTTCTGGGGTCTAGTTCTGAGTCAGCCACTTACTCCACATGGCATCTTGAGAAATTTAATTAACACTTTGAGCCCTATTTCCTCATTTCTAAAATGGATATAATAATATCCAGTTCACTGGGTTGTTGTGAGCACAGTGCCTATTAAGTCCTCTTCCTAACAATCGATTATCAACAAGTGAACATTTATGAAGTCTATTCCAAGGACAATGCAAAGCACAAGGTGTAACAGGAAGTTTTAATAGAAAATAAACGCGCGTTCTCCACCACGGGCCGGGAGAGCATCTAACAAATCATGCCAACCATGCACAATGAATTGCTGATGATACATGCAAATTAAAGTGGATCTCCAATCCATGCCCATTTATATTTTTCGAGTGTGGATGTGGAGAAATTTTCAATGAGAGCCTTTTTCCTGGTATTTTTACAAGTCAGCAGATCTCCAAAGCCCAACTAAAATATGGGCTGATTAAAGACTCTAGAAAAACTGGAACAGTCGCAAACTGTTCGGTGGCCAGTACCACAGAAACTAGGACGAACCGAGCCTCTTCTTTCTAACCAAGGGCAGATCTCAGGCTCCCTCGGGGAGGTAAAGCGGAAGGGCGAAATACCGGTCAAGTTGCCTAGACTCGGATGGAAGCGGTGTCCAAAGGGCCCCTCCCCCGTGTCACCAGCCTCCTCATCCCTGTCATGAAGGATTCTTCTCAGGCGTTGTGACAAACCCGAGGTGTGTCGCCAGGGGCCCGCCGGGCCGAGGAGGAGCCGAGGCGGCCCGGGGAACTCCAGTCCTCACACGGTTAACGCTCTTCCAAGATGAGTGGAGGAGGGTCCCCGCCCTAGAGAACCAGGAGAATCTCAGGGCCGAAGCCCCGCCTCAGCGGGCCCGGCCCCTCCCCGCCCACCGCCCAACTCCGGTCGGACCGCGGGCCGCACCTGCCCGCGCGCACACGCCCCCCGTGCCCAGGCCTCGCCGCCGTCGCCGCCCTCGGCACGCGCCCGCTGCGGCTCGCCCGCACAGCCCTGCCTTGGCGCGGGCTACGGCGCACGAGCCGCCGCGGCGCTCCTCCCCGCCGCGGACGCCGCCCTCGCGTAACCGCCGAGGAAGCTGAGGCGAGCCCGGGCCGGGCGCGAGGGCGCGCGGGCCGCCGCCGCCGCGGTTGTTTCCCTGCTCTCCCGCTCCAGCTAGGACGGTCTCTGCCGCCGCCGCCTCCTCCTCCGACCTCAGTCCTCACCACCCGCCTCCCGCTCCTCAAAAGCACCCCCGAGTCCCCACCCCCTCACGCCCCACCCGCGGGAACGAGGCCTCGAGAATTCAGGGGAGTGGCTGTGGGGGCGCGTCGCTGCTCCCAGCTCGGCCAGCCCCTCTTTCAAGACATGGTCTGATCCCCATTGTAAAAGCTGCGCCCCGAAGAGGAGGAGAGAGTGGTGCTCCCTGCCTGGGGCTGCAGGGAGCTTTCCGTGCTGAAGCTCTTGCATTATTTTAGGGTGGAGCGAGGAGGGCCCTGGATTTTGGGGAGTGGGGGGGTGAGTGGGAAGGAGGACCCGAGGGGGGCAAGGACTCTGTGGGGGAGTCGGTGAGAGACTATGGGGAAGGACCAGGAGCTGCTGGAAGCTGCTCGCACTGGAAATGTGGCTCTGGTGGAGAAACTCCTGTCTGGCAGGAAAGGAGGGATCCTGGGCGGTGGATCCGGACCCCTGCCCCTGTCTAATCTGCTAAGGTAAGGACGGGCACCAGTTTCGGGGTTGGCACACCTCGTTATGCATTGTGATGGATATACGTCCTCCTCCTCACGGTGATTGCACCTGGTGGCTGCCAGCGATACATTCTTAAATTAGGCAGGAAAACAGACTGCGTGTATGGAGAGGAGGCATGAGCCTCCCAGTCAGATTGATGCCTTAGATTCTTTGAGTAATTTTAAAATAGCCTTCCATCAATGCGTCAGTAAGCTACTTTTCCTCTGAGCCGTGGTGCAGAACTTGTACATGCACTGGTGTTGCTTGAAGAAAATCGACGTTCCGCCAGCTTTCCATCAATGTTTATTATATATTTGCAGCTTTGAACCCAGCCTTTTTTGTTTAGTTAAATGAAATTGGCAGAGAACCTCTTGCGTGCATGCAATTACCCTGCAAAAACCACAGCCTTCAGTGGCTGCTACCTTCTCTTGCAGAAGGCATTTGGTGTGCTGTGGGTTATGATCCCACAAAATGAAGTGAGTGAAGCTTCTTTTTGGTGAGATGTCTTCAGTACAGGATGTGTGTAAAACTTGATGAGGCAGGTTAGGCAGCCCCAGCAGTACTTTAAGTTACCTGGACATAGCTGAGTGAAACTTGGTTATTATAGCTCAGGATGAAGGATGCCAGGTTGGGATTGGGATAGTGTATGCAATATACTAGAGGCCTTTTAATGTGAAGATGTTGCAGGTGAGACTGGTATTGCTTAGAGAACCTTTCTAAGATGACATTAAAAAAATTGTCAAGGTCTTCATTTAGCAGTACCTTGGAAATAGCGGGGTTGATTTGGATACTTGAGAAACTATTAACTTAAAAGTTGTATTGATGGACATACAAAATCAACTGGGAAGGAGGAAGCCTGGAGAGTGTTTACTGGATAAAATTCAAGGGAAACTATTTAGTTTCTAAAATCGTGGCTATCCAATTTGTCCTCGTTATTTTTGGAGTCATCAATTGTCATTCATATCTTCACCTTAAAACATCTCTTGGATAACCCAACTATATTTGTAAAAAATTTTAAAAGCCCAAGTGATTTTCCTGGTTTTAAAAAAACTCTTCCATGCTACCTTTGACAAGTGATTAATACAAACTTTTGGGTGATGATATTGTGTTCTTTACAGAAGTTCTCATAGGTTGTGGTGGTCAGACAACATAATTAATTATAGGACTAGCTAGCAGGGAAAATGGAAAGTTTCTATTACAGTGAAACAAATTTAGTTGAAAGTGGTTGATGGGATTTTAAAAAGCCCCATGTGTTATTCTGTATACTCATTGACAGTGACATTTTATTGGAATGATAGTTCATGTCAGAACAATGAATATTTATAGGACTTTTTTCAGTAGGTCATAGAGATGACTTGTGTGTACTCCCTTGTTAAATCTTCATTTTCAAACACAGGTAGACAGTGTGTGCATATTTCATTCAGATTGCAGCTTTAATAATTGCCTGTAGTCACGTGTAGTTTATATAAAAGCAGTTTATCTCATTATGGTTTTAAGTTACATGTAAAATAAAAATATTTGCCAGTGGATCCATCAGTTATAAAAATGATTGTCTAGAAACCTATATGCTGAAAGAGGTTTCTCAAACGATTTCTTTGGGAGAACATGAGGAATTCTTTGAGAATAGTGAGAACTTCAGTTAATTTTATTGTGATAAATCATATTTTGAAAACACTCTTTGTGACAGAACTCAAAAGCAAACATCCTTTAAATACTCCTTTCCCAGTTGTGATTTTTTTTAAAAAAAAGAATAGATGTCAAATTTTAGGGATAAAATACCAAGTATTTAATGTTAGTCAACACCAAATTATCAAAATAGTGACCTCCAGTGTATATCTTGAATGAGAGGCTTTCTCTTTTGCTGTTGTTGTCAAAGGTAGCAGTAGTAGCTCTACAACAAAGAATGCACATGAAAAAGTAAACAACATGTGTTTATTAGAGTACTTAGAACCAAGTTGTAAAAATCACAGACAAAACCAGTAACCTTTAAGCTTGCTTTTATCCATCTCATACTGAATAAACAGTGTCTGAAGAAAATGAGAGTTGAAATTGTATTCTTTGGGTGATCATTTGCATAAAATGACATCCCTAAGAAGGCATATTTTATATAGTTGTCACTGTATTTAAAAAATGATTGTCATCAGAAATTTATCGGCAGGATAATGGAAAATGTGGTTCCCCTGTCAAATATAATGATACTTTGAAATTTCTTAAGGTTTTAGAATGAACTGTAGAATATGTTTGGCACTTTTCCCCCACTTGCTTTATTACTTGGGTTGTGTAATAATGGTCAGACTCTATGCTAAGTGCTTACATGTGTCATCTCGTTCAATTCTTATGTCAACCTTAGGAGGTCCATTCTCATTTCATAAATGAAGGACTAAAAAGATGAGATTAAGGACTTGCTCATGGTGACGTAATTCATGATGGCAAAGATTTAAAATTCTGTGATTCAGATTTGTTTTTACCACATTTTAAAATCTCATTCATTGAATCTGTTTTATTCACAAAAGTTTAAAGGTATATGGCCAGTTTTGACAGTCCAACTTGAACATTTTTTTTTTGCTATGAAGAATACTTCAATTTGAAATTCCTTAAATTTTCGTATTTTTTTTCTAATTAAACAAAATCTCACAACTGCCCTTTGAGGGTTCACTAGACAAGAAGTTTTCTGAAGATGCTTCTGATTACTTGTTATCTACTGATAATAAGAAATTATTCTTTGAGCAGTAACTATATAATGGGGAATCAGGTATGCTTTTGGGTGGCACTGCAATTTTCAGCAAAAGTAAGAATGCCATTGACTAAATTAAAAAACCTCTCTAAGCCTCATTGTCCTTAAGAGTGGAAATAGTAATAGTACCTATCATATAACACTGTTGTAAGGATTAAATGAAGTATAAAGTAATGAATGCAAAACATTTAGCATATAGGTGTTCATTGTTAGTGTTACTATTTTTCATGCAGCTCTAAAGTGCTTGACTTTATTCATTAAGGCCTTAATGACTAAAGATTTGCTTCATATTGGACTGGGAGTAAATTTTCCATTACAATCATAGAATCTTCAAATAGAAAGGGACCTTTCATCCAACTTCTCACCTAGTGCAGAAATTTTCTTTGTAACATCTCTTAACTGTTAGTTATTCCAACCCTGTTAAATCTTCCAATGACTAGATCCATTCTATTTTTGACAGCTGTAATTACTTAAAAGTTTTTCCCTTCATTGAGTTAAAATCCACTTCCCTGTGCCTTTCAGCAGTTGGTAGTAGCCTGGCTGTGTGGGTCAATATAAAATGGTCTAATTCATCTGCCAGAATAGTTCTTCGGGTGCGTGTATTTAGCTTTATTGTTTGCTTATAACTCTTTATTTTTCATGGAAAAACTATCATCTCCATTAACCTTTTATATGGCAAGAGATCATAGGTGTAAAGAACTTAGTTTTCATACTTTTCACTATCTTTTTCCTTCTTTACATATTCTCAAATTTTGCAATTATTCTCTTAAAGTATGGTGACTAGAAATTAGCAAAATTCAGTAGATGTCTCTTGACCAGAGTAGAATATTATGGCTGAATAAAAAAGCCTAGGACATCAGGTTACAAGAAGCATTTATAGTATGATCTTATTTTTGTAAGAAAAAAGTAAGTTTGTGTGAACATTTACAATATGCATTAAAAAGTCTGGAATGATAAGACACCAGAATGAAGACAGTATTCATCTTTGAGTGGTGGAATTGTTTGCATTTTCCAGTGTTCTGTAATGAATATGTATTATGTAATTAACATAAAATAGCAGCTATTAAAACATGATGCAATGAAATTATTATCTCTTTATTATTGATCTAAGACCTACTTACAGGTCAGAATTTTCTGGGTCATGTAATGGTGTTGGCTCATATTGAACATAGAGTCACTTAAAATTTCCTTGTATTTTTTTTTTCAATGACCTATGAAGCCATGATTCCCCTTTCTGGTACTTCTAAAAGTGTTGATTGAGCTTGAATTAGCTCTGTTCCATTTTATCTGATTTGTTTTAGGTTGTGTTTGTAATTTCTCTAGATCTTTTTGACTCTTGAGTTTGTCTTTCAGCATATTAACTTCTCTCCTCTGTATCATCCAGAGATTTAATAAGGATGTTTTCTGTAACCTGAATTCAGCACACCATGATATATCCCCAAAGAACCTCTCTTCAGCTTAGTATAAATTTAAAGTAGCAGTCTTTACTCATGGTATTTCTACCAGGATTGAAACCACGTAATAGACAATCAGCTATTTATCTCCATTGTTCCTGTGAGAATATTGTGAGGTATTTTATCTACTAACTTTCGAAATTCGCACTGTGTTTAAGTTTATGGCATTCCTTTGAACTATCCTTTTAAATTCCATCAAAATCAGTCTCCTTTATTATGGCTTGTCTCTGGTAGTGAGCTATTAGTAATTGCCAGTATTGGTGAAAATTCCCTCTACCCTCTTGCATATAATTCTTCTGGGTCTGGATATGCATGCTTATTTAAAGCAGCTTACTGTCCCTCATGGTCTCTGTTTGGACCTTCAGTAATCTCCTGAAATTATTTGTTTATCCCTTCTGATTTGAAAATGCTCTCAATAGGAAAAATAGAAGCAAAATAGAAGTTGGGAAGAATTAGATCTTTGGCATTGTTAGATATAATAGAAAATTCTCTTGTGGTCTACAACTATCCACAGTTTTTTTTTTTACTCTGTCAGAACTTAAGGTTAAACTAACTATTACACCTTCTTTCTCTTTTTCAAACTTAGCTAAAAAGGACATTAGCATTTTTCCTGGACAAGTATATATTTCTCTTTTGTATTTGCTTGCAGTTATAGCTCTTACTATCCCCTTTCATCCTTAAAGAAATCTGAGCTCATTAGAGCACTAAAATTGAGTTGCCTCCCTCCTTTTTTTCCTCCAGATTTTATGTGAAATTTCAGTTTATTTAACATATCTTTCATGAGACAGCTGCAAAA